GCCTTACAGTGGCACCTCCAGGGTCAGATGTGGAAGAGTGCGCAGGGCTGTCGTGTGCTTGAGAGCCGAACAAAGCAGCACGACCTGGAGCTCACTGCAGGGTCCTGTTGGTAGTGGAAGGGTCCACGTTAGAAGGCTGAGAGGTCTGAGCTGGCAGCCTGAGGGTCTGTGCCGGGAACCTGCTGGTGGACGTCCCAAGGCAGTGGGGAAGACTGGAGCTCCTCTGAAGAAATCAAAGCAGAGCTTCCTTTTCTATTCCCCTTTTCATTCTGTTCAGACCAGGAGACTGTTAGCTGGTGCCGCTCACCCCCAGGGTGGGTCGTCTGTCTTCAGTAAGTCAGCACACCCAGAGCTCTGCTAACCCAGTCAGCTGGGCACCTCGTACTCCAGCTGACACAGCGGCGAACTATTAGAGAGGCAAAACTCAGGTACTTGGGGTATAATTTGGAGGTAGACCTGAGAGGACACTGCCAGTAAGGGTGAGGGGTGAGAGTAGGTGAGAGGTCAAGGGCGACTTCCAGGATCCTGACTTGAGCACTTAGCTCGGCTGTGGAGCATTTCCGGATGATCTCATTTCTGTTCCAAGTCAGTAGCAGTGGCTTGGATGAACGTACAGTGAAGATAGGAATCTAACGAGGTAGATAATATGAAGCGGATTAACAATTTAAAAGATACCGTAAGACTTGAGGTAAAATTCACAGAAATAAATGGAGTGCTGCACTTAGCTTTAAAAATATATAATACACAGCTGGGCGTGGTGGCGCACACCTATAATCCCAGCACTTGCGAGGCTGAGGCAGGAAGATCGTTGCGAGTTTGAGACCAGCCTGGGCTTTAAGGTGAGCTCAAGGCCAGCCTGAACTGCATAGCAAGACCCTGTCTCAAGAAGACAGAATAAAAAAAAAATATATATATATATATATATGGAGAGAGACAATATATACACACAGGATCAAACCAGGCAGACTTAGCCTAGTAGCAGTTTACTCTAGAAGTTCAAAAAGAATAAAAAGTGTGATATGACTGCCATAAAAATGACCCCGAAATAGGTTGCCTTTAAAGAAGTATGATGTCCGGTTTAGGGAATTAAAAGTCCGATCATGCTTTGCACTGTTTGGACAAAAACTGATGCAGTGGCTGAGCGAGTTTCCCATCGTTGGAACAGAATACCCAGTGCCCACGGCTTAAAGGAAAGGTTTATCCTGGCTCCCAGTGGAAGTGCAGGCTCGGCTGATCCCAGGGCCGACACAGGACGGCAGAGGGGCACTGCAGAGTAAGCGGCATGCGCCCGGAAGCAGGTGGAGAAGGAGGAGCCTGGGACGAGAATGTACCCTCTGGTCGCGCCCAGTCCAGGGCCCAGCAGCACATTCGGCTCCTAAACTCCTCAGCGGGGGAATCCACTAGTGAGTGTGGCGCCCCATGGCCCGGTCGACTCCCCAAATAATGAGGCTTTGAGGGCACTGTGGATCTTAACCGGTGTGTAGCGCTGAGCTCACCTCAGCGCACTGTCCTTGTAAAGGGTTGTTGAACAGCCGGACCTTGAGATGGAGACAGCGCAGCCCTCTTCTGCCAGAGAACGAGCAGCTGAAAGAGTAGAGGATTTCGGTCAAAGAGCACAGCCCTACAGTGAGCACCATTAGAAGGTTGGTCAGATAGAAGGGAGGTCAGATTTTAGATAGGTTCAAGGAAGTCCGGAAGTTCCAGTGAAGACCCAGGGGTTGAAACAGAAGGGCTTGCTGAATGCATTCCCTGTCAAGAGGCATTTTGCAGGTCTGGGTGTGTGTGCATTGGTATGGAACACAGAGGTCTCCCGTCCCGGGTGAAGAACCGGACAAGTTCATCTGCGAAAATCTCCCTCATGTAGAAGTCCAGAGTTCTAAATTGCTAACTGGCATCTTCTCGGGAGACATAAAGCTCTTAGGGTGTCTCTGTACCGCATTTTACGAAGTGTTGACACAAGGGTTCCTGAAAGTTCCGACCACGTTCTTCACGGTTCTGACTCCCGCCACCCCTTCCCCAGAGCCCGTGTTCAGTGACAGGGTGCGCTTGTCCAGGCTGGACACAACTCTGAAATAGTCAGCGCCTCCCAACCCAGCTACCATGTAAGCATGCTTTTTCCAGCAACCCATTTTGGCCTCCGCCCTATTAACACTACGCCCAGTGGTTGGCAGTGAGGAAGCTTAAATGATGCTCAGATGAAATAGAAAAAGTAATCACTCGGATTCCTCGTTGTTAGCACAAGAATACCAGCTCATGTTTCTCTTCTGCGGAGCCGTAATTATATGTTCAGATAGCTGTTTGGGCCAACGGAGACATCATTAGGCTAAAAACAGAAGCTTTCAAATAAATCGTCAGTTACTCCTCTTCAGTCTTTCTTTTAGATGTCGTGTTTTCAGCCACCTCTGACTTGATTTTCTTAAACCGTTCTAGGATCTATTAGAGTCAGTTAGACAACAGATTGCTTCTTTCAGAGAATCTAAACGAAGAGATATACTGCTCTAAATTTTAATCTTATTCCCACCAGATTCTGCTGTGGTCTCAGATACACTTGGAACTTTGCATACAAACTTTGCTTCTTAGAGAGCTGCCAGAGAACGGCTTTCTCTGAGTTTTGGGAGGGGAAATCTGTTTGGGGAGGGATGCAGAGAGTCTCCAGAGATTGGGTGGTGAAAGGCAAGGCTGTGGGACAGTCAGTCTGCTGGTTTCTGTGTCTTCTGTAGGGTGTGATGTTAGCTCCCTTAAACATGGGAGCAGGAGGGCTGTTTCCATCGCTGTAGGAGCACCTCACTCTGCCCTATTTAAGTGTGGGAAAGAAGACAGAGGAGCAGCTTGCTGAAATCTTCCTTAATTAACACTTCTTGTGCTTGAGAAAGGAACGGGGCTGACAGGAGTCCAGGCAGAAATTCCTCGCCTCTCTGCTGAGGTTCACAGGCCCACTGAGGGTCATCTACAGAGAGATCCAACCCACAGAAGGTTTAAGGAGGTAACCATGTCGAGAAACCCTTGGTTCCAGGGGCCGCTAGCTGAGGGGACACTACAGACATCTCCAGACTGTTTCTATAGGAATTCTCAGTTTCTCCCGAGTTCAGGGCCCTTGCTAAATCATTATGTGGCTGCTGGTAATTAGCCCCTCCTGCTAGGACTAGGATTAGCCTTCGCAAGGTCACGTTCTGTATTGCCCTTGGGTCTAAGGGAGTATCTCCCGCCCCTCTGGTCAGTCCCACCAGAGCACACGGTGCCTCCCGAGCAGCACGTGGGAGGGTCCTAGGGTCGCCATCCTGCGCCCACCAGGAAGCTTGCTGTGGCAGTTCTGTGCCTCTGCGCCCAGAGAACAGCGAGAGAAACAGTGCTTGCTTCTTCAACAAAGGTATTGTTTATCTTGCAAGGTAGAGAAAAACCAAGCTGCACTGGTGCTGTGTCGTCTTCTCTGACAGAGCATACCAAATCATGTTCTATTACAAACCTCAGAGCCTCTGCGTTAGTGAATAAACGCGTACTCTCTGTTGCTTGTGTCCCTCAGCTCGAGTAGAGCATAAGGACTTGCTCTCTTAATCACCCTCCTCACTTGGGGATCCTAGCTAAATAAGTGTGTATCTGAATGCATGTTCTGTTTTTTGGTTTTTTTTTGGTTTTTCTCTGGTACCGGGAACCGAACTCACAACCTTGCGCTTGCCAGGCAGGCGCTTTTGCCGCTGAGCTAAATCCCCAGCCCTTGAATGCATGTTCTGAATAAACGTAATCAACCTAAAATCCCCTCTGCTGGCAGGGATGGTTTGACCTTCACCCGGTGCTGGGTTTTCTGTTCTCTCCCAGTGTTTGCTTTGTCTCCTCGGAGCTCTGTTCCTCTTCTTTCTGTTCTCTGGCCGGTTTCTGGCCGCCCCTCTGTTCCGCCGTGGCCATTCTGAACTCCCGGCTTGTCTGCCCAGAGCTGCACCACACACAGGAGAGTCAAGCGTTGTAGGACCGGGGGAGCTCGGAGCAGTCGTTCTGCCCAGGCCAGGGAAGCCCCGGGGTGGTGAGAGCTGCGGGTTGCAGGTGTGTGTTGGGGCGGTTGGAGCGGGCAGCCTACGTCCAGAACCCTGAGAACCGCAAGCTGGGCCAAGTGCTTCTCTACAGCGCTTGCTAGGAAAATAATTGCCTTTAATTGCTCAAGCTTGGAATCAGTTGCCGTGAGGTAGTTTTTGTCCTAGGGATATATGTTTTTCTCCTCCAGGAAGTGAGTGGTTTCACTTGGAAGCTGTAATATTTTTTCTTTTTAGTAGAAAGTCTTTATTTGCAGTTATCATGTGTGTTTCAACCCAGTGATTCAGAAATAATCCATGTGATCTCCCACATCATTCTAACTGTGCTTTTTCTTTAGAAGGGTTTGATAGTGAGCCAGATGCATTAAAACAAAAACATGAGTTCATCACTGAAAAAAAATCTTTTCACCGTACACAGTTGTCCAAATTTTCTCCACTGGTTAAAAAAGTGTGATTAATCTAGGAGGAGCCAGGTGCAAAAGAGCGACTAGATTAGTGCTACAGTGTCTAGGCTGAGATGTAGCAGTGGAGGGGTCTATTACATGATGTGGTTCGTGTCTTTTTGTTAAAGGTGAGGGGTCTAGAGATGGAAGATAAGCAAGCTGCTCGAAGTCACACGGTCCCTCCCCTAGGGTTACTGTGAGCTTTACCTTCAGTCCTTGCTTTCGCATCTGGAAATAGCAAGAGTCTATGTACCACAGCTACAAAAGCGTCCTTTCATTGTGTGGTCTTCAAGTCGTTTTCACTGAAATGCTCCCAGACAACTACTTCATCTTTGAACTACAGAGAAGACTTGAGCTGCTATAGTTACTCAGTTTGTAATGAGTACTTTATTGAAGCTCTCAGAGCAGGGTGACTAATAGATTCCACATTTCGTATACTATTAACTGTATAAATAGACCTTTGCCTTTCAAAAATGCAAGACCAGAAGACACTGTTTCCTAGTTACTGTTACAGGATTTATTTTCTTTACTCTAGGATCCTTTTGACTTCAGTGACATTGCTGTCTATATATTCAATAAACCTTCTATTGATCTGCTCTAAGGAAACAGGTAAGCTGAGAAGGTGTCTAATTTTATTAAAGCCCGGGCGAATGATGTTCATACTGATTTTGTGACTAGATGATGTTCTGTCTGTCCAGCTTGATGATTAAAAAGGAAGACTGACTTTGACCTACAGTAACTGGGAGACTCGCCGTGGTATTTACCTAAAAAAACGGGCAGCAGCGTTTAAATTAAATCCACATGGACCGTGAGGAAATAGTGTCATTGGAAGTGAACATCAGTTGTGCTTGTTTTTCTAGTTTAAGATGACTTCATTTTAAAGCTTAAAAGCTTTCAGCTTTTCCTTAGGTCTTTGTAAGTCCTAAATAAATACCCCATGTTAATCATATCATAACCTCCCAAGGTTTTAAAAGTAAGCAGACTTTTGATTCTTTTTTGTGCATATTCCAAGGAGAAAATGCTACTCTTGAGGGTGTGTGGGAGTAGTGACTCACCAAGGACTTAAGTTCCCTGGGCAGTGTAATACCTGAAGTGCTTATTTTCTATTCCTGGGACTCTGGACTATGTTTGTAGTACTCTGACTTTTACATTAGCTAAAACCACACTGGCCAGCTATTAGTGTATACAGATGGCTGGAACATTTTGTAATAAATTCAGGATCTAGCCATTGTCTACTTTAAACACCAGTCATAGGAGAGATTAAACAAAGGTTTAATTATAACTTGGCCCGTATTGCTTTCTGTGAACCTTTCTGAAAACATGAGCTAAACTGTTGTAAAGAAATACCAGCACTGAGGTTTTGTTTTTAATGAATGGTTTAATTTTAGGCTTTATTGAGATGAGCTGGTTGACCACTTTAGAATTTTGCCATAATCAAATTACTTGTTGGGCAAATTTATCTGCTGTTTCCTTTTGGGAGTTGCATATTTTTGAGCTGAATTTTACAAATAATCAGAATTCCTGTGTGGTGACAATTAGATGTTTCTAGTGTTTTAGGACAAAAGGGATTGCTAGGATAGTATGAAGAGAATCGTTTGTCAGCCTCATCAGTTCAGGTAATTTATTCAGCAGGAGACTTTTTTGTCTCAAACATCAGGATCTTCTTATTTTTTATTATTATTATTTTTTTAGGATCTTTTTAAAATCAAATCTTTTTCAGTGGTACACACCAAATTTGAGAAAAAGATCAGGGTGGGAATTCCAAATCCATACCCTCAACCCCAAGGTAGAGATAGTTAAAAATAAGCCTTATGACCCAATAGTTCAGTTGTCATGCTTTTGTAGCCAGTATGAAAAAGGAGAAACAATAGTCATGTGTGACATTTTAAAATGTCAGGAGAGGTGTCTTAAATGGCAGTGCCTTAACTCTTGCAAACCAAGATGGCTGATCTACCTGAACTTGAGGAAGACATCAGGTAATGTAGCGGGTGGTCAGCAGAGTGAAAGGTGGGCTGTTTGTACTTCAGAGCCTTGCAGTTTCTTGCATCCTCAAATTTCGTTTTTAAATAGGCTGCATGGTTTATGAGAAGCTGGGAGAACAAGTCTTTGGCACTACAGGGAAGCTGGTGATCTTCGGAGCCACCGCTCTGCAGAATATCGGAGGTAAAAAGAACGACCTTTTCTATACTAAATTTTAGCATGCTTTTCTATATCTAATGTTACTCTCTTTTCTAATTCTGGTGGTTGAGTGTCCATGTAAAATTTAGTATAATTCAAATAGTAACCGTCTTGTTGCTAAAACAGAAACTGGGAGATAGAGCATAGATAACTGTCACTTACTTAAGGGGAAATACACTGCGGGGATAGCTGAAGCCACCTCTGTCTTATTGAAGGTTAGTCTAAGGTTAGAAGACCTTTCATATAGCTTGCAACTCTGCGGCTTAGTATCATCTTTCTAAAAAGGTTCTCATTTTCCTGCAGCAATGCTGAGCTACCTCTTCATCGTAAAAAATGAACTACCCTCCGCCATCAATTTTCTAATGGGAGAGGATGAGAAATTTTCGTAAGTTATAGACTTTTTTTGTGTGATATAACCATAATGTTTTAGTGTAAATGCAGGCTAGCCAATGTTTTTGTCTGATGAAAATTGCAGAAACAAAGTATTTTTGTTTGTTGTTTTAAGGGAGTCATTTGAATATGAGCATTTAAAAGGTAGGCTCATCAGACATACTGGGAACAAGATACTTCACTTTCCCAAGGGCCTGAAATCTCTATCTAGTTTCTGTGGAATAGAACAGACATAGAGTTTTTGGTTTTTTTTTTTTTTTTTTTTTTTTTAAACATAGAAGTAGAACACATTTTAAAAAATGAAGACCCCAGCCTCTTTCTTCTTAAAGAGGGTTTACGGCATTTGGGGACCACACTTTGTATGAGCCAAGCCCATTAAGGTGTCGCTCGCCGTGGAAAATGCTGCCAGCTCCGCTTGGCACTTATGTGTGGGCTCTGTCTTGTTTAACAGTTCTTGTCAGTGTCAGTTTCTCTGTTTTCCTTCAAGGGAAAAGCGCAGAAACCAGAGTTCCTAGCGTCCTCGCTTTGGGATTCAAGGTCAGATGCACGGGATCAGGGGGAACGAAATGCCCACCCGTGGGGACTCGATTCCTCTGATAGGAGCCAAGCAAAACGAAAAGGAGCTTTCTTTTTCAATAATTGATAAGACAAGCTGTAATCTGACGGAATGCAGTGTATACATTCAGCTTTGAAACCACGTAAATAATTCAAAGGAATGCCACATTTAGCCAGTGGGAGAGGGGGAAGAAACAGTACCCCTGCTTCCATTACGCAGGCCCGAAGCGGTAGTAGAGGGACAGTGGTTGGGTCAGAGTGTCTGGATAAAACCTGCGTAATGACCAAACATTTGATGGTAATACTGGTGATCAGAGTTCACTAAAATACGTCATGCAGTTTTACATTTGAAGGGGGAAATGTCACTTTCTAAACAAAAGCTATAACCTAGCTGACTCCCTGCCTTTCAGGGCCTGGTATGTGGACGGCCGACTTCTGGTGGTGGTGGTGACCTTTGGCATAATTCTGCCTCTGTGTCTCTTGAAGAATTTAGGTAAAGCGCGATCTTGACTTTCTCGTAGTGTTTCCAGTGTCCCGGTGCATCAGAAACCTAATAAAAATGAACAGTTTTGCCTTCTGCTTCCACTTGTAGGGTAATAATTAAGTAACTCATAAATTGCAAGTATTAATCAGACCCAGCATTACTGTCAGATGTAATCCCAGCTAATTGGAAGGTCCAAGCAGGAGGATCACAGGTCGAAGCTAGCCCGGGAAAATAAGCACATGACCCTGTCTCAAAATACGAATGAAAATAAAAAGGGGTGGAATGTGGCTCATGGCGGTGTTCTTGCCTGACGTGCATGAAGCCCTGAGTTCCGTCCTCAGGCTGCAAACAGACAAAACTGAAGAAAACAAAATCAGTGCTGGTCTGTCTGTGATCTCCTGAGTAGTCCCACTCCGCAGCTGGAAGGGCTGAGGAGAGGTCCTGAGGCCAGGGCAGATACTGCAGTCTCCAGCAGCACAGCTCACAGGCTGCTCTAAAACAAGTCCAGAGGGCTGGGGTTATAGCTCAGTGGCATAAGCGCCTGCCTGGCAAGCGCAAGGTCCTGAGTTCGATCCCTGGTACCGCAAAAATAAATAAATAAATAAATAAAAATAAAACAAGTCCAGAAAGTGGAATTCTCCTCTGAGGTCTTAAATACTCTGATTATTTAGACAAATAGATTTTTAAATCTGATACCAAGCAAAGTCCCTTATGTTTATACCCAAAAGTGTATGAATCATTCAGATACAAATTTAGACTCCACCCAAGCTAAATGATCTTTCTCACCGAAGGGAGAGAGTGAAGCGTAAAGTTAAAAATGACAGATGATGTCCAAACCAAGTCACATCCATTTGGTTTTGACATTTGTTTCCTTGCTTTTATTTGAAGACTCGTGTGCCCCGTAGCTTTGGGAAGTTCACACATCAAGTCATGAGGCCAGGTTACCATCCAGCCATAAACGCCTGAGATGTACTCCCTTTAACTGTGACTTAATTCAAGGCAGAAGTATGGGTTAAGATCTTCCCAAAGTGATTATAAATGACAGGGTTTTCATTTTTGTTTCACTTTGGTTTGGTTTAGAAATGTAAGATTTTGATTGCTTCTGTGGAGTTTATAAGTAGATTTTTAAAAATTCCTTACTTTTGGACTCTGAGTCAGTATGTAGGCCTTATCCATATGCGTAGAAGTAGCTCTTGCCAGTTCTCAGAGAGGGCCCTTCCCAGGAGGCTGCAGGCCGTGCAGCAGGGCAGGAGCCCTCCCAGGCAATCCAAGGGGAGAGAGTGAAGATCCTCACATGCTCCGTTTATCTCTAGAAATTCACATCATCTGTTCCCTGCGTACTTGTCATCTGGGGAGGCAAGTATTACACCCGGCAGTCAGTTCCATCCAGAGGATCGGGGAGTAAATGGATTTGCCCATAAGGGTCCATTACAGTCCTTCAACACACAGACTTAGGGCCCCGCTGGGAGGCTCCCTTTCCCTGGACCCTGGGAATCTGCATCTCTAGTGTGCCGCAAAGCACTGAACTCGGCACGCTTAGTTCAATGCCCTCATTCAAAGCCCAAACAAAGTAGCACTGTCAAATAATGAATCTCAGCTGGCCATGGCGGCGCTTGCCTGTGATCCCAGCACGTTTGACGCAGGGGGACTGCAAGTTCTAGCCCAGCCAGGCCAACTTGGCGTCAAGACCCTGTCACAAAATAAAAAATACAAAATGGCCAGGTGTGGTGGCACACACCTGTAATCTCAGCACTCGGGAGGCTGAGGCAGGAGGATGATTGTGAGTTCGAGACCAGCCTGGGCTACAAAGTGAGATTAAGGCAAGCCTGAATTGTATAGCGAGACCCTGTCTCAAAAAAAGGCAAAAACAATGATGTAAAAATGGGGATATAGCTCAGTGTAGAGATGAGGATTTCAATCCACAGTACCACAAAATAAATAGATTAATAAGCAAAGACATAAATCTCATATACAGTGGCATGTATGCATATTATTAAAGTCCCAAACTATGCTTGAAGTAATGCACCAAAAAAGGAAAGTAATGAATGAAATAATAGCAATTAATTTTCTCCTTCTTAAAGGGTATCTTGGCTATACTAGTGGATTTTCCTTGAGCTGCATGGTTTTCTTCCTAATTGTGGTAAGTGCCAACTGCTTTGTCTTTGACATAGTACAATGCCATGCAATAATCATTTGTTATTTGGTTTTAATAAAATCTATGTTGTTTCTCTTGTATTTTTAATACCAGGTGATCTACAAGAAATTTCAAATTCCCTGCCCTCTTCCAGACGTAAATTCAACAGTAACTGCTAATTCAACAGATATTTGTACACCAAAATATGTCACCTTCAATTCCAAGGTTTGTGTTCCTACCCTTTAAAGGTAAAATGGGCGTTTTTATTAAGAGCAGTATATTTCTCCTGCTAGTAATTACACTGTTTTGAATGTATTCATTCTGGAAAGAACACACTGTAGGATTGCTTCTCTATTCCACAGTCCATTTGGAGAATATTGAAAAATACACAAGGGTTTTTTAGCAAGCTTGTGACAACCTTACGCATTTTCTGAAAATCTCAATAATTGTCTCAGTTCTTCCTGTGCTATGGAGAGTACTAGGCAATGCTTTAAAAACAGATTAATAGGGGCTGGGGATTTAGCTCAGCGGCAAAGCGCCTGCCTGGCAAGC